CTTGCGTAATTATGTGGGAGCGAGACGTTTTATCATATCACAGCCTTGCATTCCACGCCAGCCGCCAGAAGTGCCTCGACTCATGCGAAAGACGTTAAATCCAGACGTTAAAGAAGTAAAGTCGTAATGCATAAGACAGGCAATCGCAAGTTTCAATCATGTATGGACATGCGTGGGTGAGCATGCATGTGTTAACGCAATGATTATTTAAAAGATTTTATTAAAATTATTATATTACCGAGAAAATCATCGAGAAAGTAATTTCGATGTTCGCGTGACTCATATATTTCGTTCATGTATTACGGGAACAGTAAAAAGCGAACTCCGATCAGATATTATATATCGATAACGAAAAACCTAAGTCTATCGATAGTGCATTACCGCGTTCTATCTCTTATATATATATTTTTTTTTTTTAACTAGAGAAGGAAAAGATGATTCACATTGCTATTTGGATCCGGTTTTTCAGACCAATCATAATTTCGATCAGCATTTTCATCAGACTTTGACGAAAGAATTAGACAAATAAATAGAAACGAGGTAGTTCTTTGAATCTGCATCTCCTTTTGCAGTGCGTAATTACAGTGCATTGAACTCCGTGAATAAGCAAAAGCGAGCGCATCTCCGTTATTATTCGCAGATATATACTTTCACTGTTTTCTCCGGCGTTCCGATATCCGATAAAATCGCGTGTGATTTTTTTTTGAAACAGCCCATGCGCTTAAGATAATTAAACTAGAGCTAGACTAATGAAGCTTAGAGTTTACTCGATTATTACTCGATAGTAATAACGGGTATAAAATTGCTAAATTTATAGCTCTCGATAATCGCTCGTCCAAGCTCGCGCGTAGACCGTTTCGGTCGCAACGTGTGTTTTTCGCATTAGAAGGATGATTTTTATTTTCTGTATCGCTCGGTAAAATCGAACGATCCGCTGAAATCCGCAAAAAACGGAAACTAATAGGGCAAGGTGAGAATTTAGCACTTATAGCTTTCACCGCGGCATCGTTTTCCTTTCTCCCGCGAACTCATTAACCGGCGACCGGAAAACTCACGATTTGCGATCGGAAAGATACGCATGTTTAATGCAAATAAAGGTCTGCACCCATATCAGAAATCATTTCGCATGTCCACGAGATAACTAACAAGCCGTCGTTTAATCGTCGTGATTTACTTGTGGGCGTCTTACGTATGGCACAGGTAAGCGGAATTTGGCGTATTGAACCGCACACCGTTGCGCGGCGGTGATGCGGATGATGCGTCGAGATAAGAGGGATCCGTTTAAGAGGGACGGATCCGACAGTTTAATGACGTCGTAATTGGCGAAGTGACTCACTCAATTGCGATCGCAGAGCAGATAGATAGCCGTTTTCGCGATGATGCCGCGCGCACCCGTGTATTATTTCATTTTACCCAACTCGAAATTATTATCGTTATAATCGCGTTATCATGATGAAAACATGTTATTAATGATACCTAGAAAAGACACTGTGTCATTAGTAATTGTGAATCACGAGAATTATCCATAAGAAGTCAATAATTTTCGAGTAAAATAATTCAAGATAAGTTATTGAGCATGTATTTTTTAAATTTCTTCTTTAAGAGTATACCGATAATTACCGCTGGTACTCGGTGTGCATGGAAAGCGGTTCTATGGAACCACGAATTTTATTTCCGACACGGCCGAGCGAGGAAGTGTATTTTGGTCACGAATGGTTTGTATACGCGCATAAACTACGGCGCGAACGCCTCGCCTTCACGCCGCGCTTTTTCACGCTCGAAGGTGCTTTTTTTGTCATCGTGTACGTTATCGTAACACCGCGTTAAATAACCGTGCTCCGTCCGAGAAATCTAGACTGCGACAAGTGTTAGGTTATTTTTTCGCAGGCGCAGTCGCGCTGTGTTCTTTTCCCTCGTCTCGGTCCCGGTCTTAATCACGGGAAATAGAATGACAAAGCCATGACAACTCCATGTCACAAATTACTAACATTTCCGGAGAAAATATCAGATCGTCTTTAAAAGTCTGCGCGAAATTTTAATCATTTAATGCTTAAATTTTACCTTGTGAATAATTTTAGGTATTATATACCAAGAAATCTTACGTTTTGATTACGTATATAATTAAAGTGATTAAGACGAGATAAGAGTGAGATAGGCACCCGAAAACATTCCAAACTGATGACTGAGCGTAATTTTCGGAAGGTAATTTAGAGAGTTTAATATCGAAAGGTAGATAGAAACCAGAGCATGCCGTTCAGTGATGCGAGAACGACGAAAATAAATTTCCGGCCGGTGCTTTGGGAGGTGTCATGATGCGCCCTGGTTGCAAGGAGATCTATGCCCATTCGAATTATCCTAATTGCTCGAATGTCCGGAGAGTTCGTAACAAGTGCATCGTATAAATTTCGTATTACTTTGGCGAGAGAAATTGCAGCTCACTTAGAAACAAAAAAAAAAAGATTTTCTACAAATATTATTAGCCCCAATAATAATAACTTCTAGCTAATAATATTGTACTATGAGTATCGATCCGCTTACGTCGATAAATTCTACTGCATATACATATATTAATTATTATAAATGTACGTCTCGTCAATCTCTACATAAATGTCGAGTGACGGTGAAAATATTTAGGACGATATATTGATACTTTACGTAAAATATGTATATATGTCATACATCGATGCAGCTATTGTTTGAGGCTGACATTTCAATGGCGATGACCTAGTTAACGGTTCCACATCGTCATCGAGCTTTGCTTAGAATAATCACCTTTTCGTTCCTACGCAACTCATCGGATTCCTCGGCAAATCGCGCGAGAGTCGAGCAATTGGCGGTCGACACTCGCCAATGATCTTCCGGCGCCTCATCCAAATCGATCCTTCGCTCTTTGTCGAAGACGTCGACGGCGATGGCGGCGGCGGTGGTTCCGCGGCTCTCCATGATCAATCTCAGCCGATTTTTTTCCGTCTTGGCGATCTTCTGGTTTTGCGAGGCCGACGCAAATTGGCCAGTACGTGGAAGCGGGATCATCGTAGCAGTCAGTCCACGATTACGAGAATCCGGCTCGCCGCCGCCGCCGCCGCCGCCGCCGCCGCCGCCGCCGCCGCCTCTCGAGGACTCTCTGCGTCCTCCTCCTGGAGCACTTCCACTGTCTCCTCTGCCTCCTCCTCCTTCTCTTCCTCCGGCTCTCGACAGCTGGTCGCGATTTTCGCCCGGCATTTCTCGCCGCGTCTCGAATTTAGTCTCATGGAACATTCACTCGTTTAGGAATCGTCCGCCTCCTCCAATCTCGACGTTCGCATGAAACGCGCATTGAAAAATTGATCGGACACTCTCTAACGGGTGGCGCTCCTTTCTCTCCCTATCTCTCTTCCTCTCTCGCAAGATCTCTCCCGTTATCGATCCTATCGAGACGAGAGAGCAGACGACTGTTCGTCCTCCTAAGGGGACCGACACACTTGATCAATCACTGATCAATCTAATCAACACCGTTTCGTTGATCCACGACGCGAAACGGTGAGATCACAAGAGAGAGAACGTTATTCCTCCCGGATTCGGCACGACACGCACCGTGCGGACCGTTTCTTCTAGCAGCAGCGGCTTAGAGACGACGACGGCTCCATCGTGCACCATCGGACATCGAGTGCACCGGAACGCATGCGCCGAACCAAAGATTTTCAAAATGTCCCTCTGGCATTTCAGCCGCCGCCACCGCTATTACCACCGCGACCCACGAGTATCCTTGATCCGCTTGTGCGCCCTCCTCCCGCCTCCTTCCACCCCTTTGATGTGTCAGCACAAGTTTCTACGAGTACAATTAATCGCGCGTTCAAGTAGGTTGTGAACTGTCTCGTTCGCGGATACGTCATCTCTCGTTATCTCGCGTCAAAACGCGGTCTCGCGCGACAATCAATAACTCACAAATCACGTGGCTCTCGTGGCAAACGGATGCCACGTTTTTGGAAATAGATATTCAAACGCGTGCGGTTCGACTCTAAAGATAAAGATCTCGTAGTAGAGACAATTCTGTCTCATTGTTCTGTCATAATTTTCAATGTTAATTTTCCGATAACTCGATCAGATAGCAATAGGCTTAAAGGTCATCAAGTGACATTAAAGGTTTCACATGAGATTAATGCGACAAGAGTGTACGTTTTGAAACGGAAACGCGATTCGAGTTGACAAGAAAATATTTACTTCTTCGTAATTTTTAACAATAAATTTTTTAGATAGAGTGCACATGAAATCACGTAAAGATGTAACAACTCTTGAATGTAATATTATTTCAATTTTATTTAATTTTCTTAAAGAATCTTGTAATTTTAATTATTTTAACATTTTTTATAATTCGACATTTATTATTTAATTTTAAAATAATAATAAGTACAAATGGAAACTTTGACGCGTGCCCCATGGGAAACATTCAATTTTGAGATAATCAGACGTGCATTCAGCTAACACTTGGGACGTATTCGTAAGAGGCAAAGGGACCTAATTCAATTTCGGGACTGCATTAATTACCGTACGCGTTTCCGAGATTTCCAGCAGAAACTGAACAAACGAACGAACGAACGAACGAACGAACGAACGAACACGTTACATTGGTGCAAGCATTTCTCTTGTCGCGAGATTTATCATTCCGTTTAAGGCAGAGGTACAGAAACGTAGTGCGAAAGAACTTTGATCGTTTTCCTTCCCTCTCCGTTCCGTTCGATCCACCAACCCCCCCCCCCTCCTCCCCCCGTGATATATCGCACGTGTCAACGTCTCGACGTTGCGCGTGCCATTTATAGTTGTATGCAGCTGCCTGTTCGCAGCGGCCCACACGTACGTCTCGCGTTGTGCGTTTCGCAAGCTCGCGGCGCCGTGTCGCAGCGTGATCGCGACACGTGCGTGTCGCGCACGAACGGGTATTCACATACGTCACGCGCACGGTTTTCCCTCAAACGGTCGGTTGCCGCGTTCCCTTCGATACGCAGATAACCGTTGAGATCGATACGAATCGAATTCGGAATCGCGCGGAATAACCAATGCGACGCCGCGTCGTATCACCGTCGATTCCCTTCTTGTTCCCGGTTGACGAGACTCGCTTTGCGGTACCTTAAACGGAAACGCGCACTCAATTGATTCACTGATTCACTCCGCCTCTCGCGGGATATGAATGGCATTCCTTATTGATTCATCTCTTTTTTTCGTAAAGAGAACGTTGGCAGGAGGACAGGAATATGGCGGAAAAGAAAGGAAAGTTGATGAATTTTACTTGTATTTTCCATGTCAAATTGCAGTGTTTTTGCAGTTTTAGATGTAGATAACTAATTGTTAAGGAGAGCGGAAATAATGAACGCGGACTATTAGAACACCATTCGAATTCAGTTCGAATAAACAGTTCTAGATAAATTGATTTCAATTTGTCACATCTAGCACTGAATACGCATTTCAAAATACGAGTAAAAAATAATTTCCTAAATAACGATAAGTCGACAAAAGAGACAGATGACGCACCGCGAAGCTATACTGTCGAGTACGAGAAGACGCGTACGAATGCGTGAGTATCGCGGAAACGTGGCAGCAGATGAGCGCAATTAAAGGGAAATCGGCATCTCCAGTGGAAGATTCCGTGAATTGCAGGAAGAGAGGCGGAAAAAGAGAAACGCGCACAAAAGAAGCGAGCCGGCGGCTGCGAGAGGAACGTCGCCGGCGCTCCGGCGCTCCGCCGCCTGACCCATACGCACTCACGATTGGCGATCGGCCGGCCGCTTATCGCGTCTTTAATCAAAGACGATTAGACGTCAGAGAGACTGGTCGCGGCGCGACGACCGACTTCGGCTTCGACCGGGTCGCGAGTGAAGCGATTTCTTCTCGTCGCGGGACGATTTCCGCGGCTATCGCATTCCGTCGTCGAACGCGGGAGACAAGATCCGGAAACTGATTTCGCGAGAAGATTCCACAAACCTTCCCTCCGCTTAACGAGGCTGCGTCGCGGCGGCTTCTGGAATAACGTACGGAGCGGCCGCTGCACGAGCGGAGAGTGTCAGAGTGGATGAAATAAACTGGCGTAGGTTAGGGGATCGAGGAACAGCTGGGCTCGGCCTGGACTGTTGCACGCCATCACTGACTCACTCGATCTGTCTCCCCTCCTCTTTTTCTGCGTCCGTTCTCTCTCTCTCTCTCTCTCTCTCTCTCTCTCTCTCTCCTGTTTCCGTGGTCTCGTGGTCGGCCTCGTCGCTCCTCGGTAATCGCTTCTCCCTCCCTTCTTTGTCTTTCTTTCTCTTTTTTTCTGGTCTACAACGAGAACTTTTCTCTTCTCCGTCTAATTAGGAAGATGTCTGTCTCCGCTGTAGTCTTTCTTTCGCAAGGGGAATACACTTTCCGACTCTTGACGTCTCGAGATTGGTTCAGATTAAATGACAAATTGTTTATTAGCAGCAACGCGAAGGAATATATCATGAAACGTTCCGTTTGCGATGCATGTGCATCTGGATGTAAATCTATGATTTATGTTTCTTATTATTTCTTTCCCGTCTGAGGAATACCTTCCACTGCGATTCAAGAGCTTCGTCGCAATTTAATGAGAAATTATTTGTGATGTCTTAGAACGAGATACACTGACATCATTTTAATCTAATATAAAATATTGCTTCTCCGCAAATATCTCAGCTGCGCTTTTGCGCTTAAACAAAAAGACTACATATCAATCATCTCACAAATAAAAGTACGACGTTAGTAGATTTTGATATATTTTATATATATATATATATCGAAAAAATGAAAGAGTGCTAAATCTTTTGGAAATATCTCCTTTGTCTTCGTTTTCTATTTACAGACTAAGAATAAAGCATCAGCGTCAAAATATCGATTGGTTTAATCGATCGTCTTGCAAACATTTAGCTTCTTCATACTTTGCCCCCAGTACTTTAATAAATTATCAAAGAACTGTAATTAATTATCCGATATTATCCATAATTACTCGATCGGCCTCCCACATATTTTATATTTTATATTTCGTTCTCCAACAAATTACCGTGTTCTTCGTGGGAGATTATCAACGAGCTTTCCTCCGGTGTGTCTAATCGACGGACTCCTTCCTTTCACTGTTTCTTGCCGTTCTACCTCTTGCGGAATTACTGTCGAGGAGCTCTCCTCGTATCTATCTAATCAGGAAACCGCGGCATCCCGCTTCTCCTCTTCAGTGATCACGCATTTCATTAAGCGAATGGACCTTCGTTGCTATTAGATGGATAACAATCTCATTCTCTCGACGAGGAAGTTTCTAATTGATGTAAGAGGAGGAGATCACAGGCATGAAAGTGACTCCAGATCCAGTAATTAATGAAATTCGTATAAGAGATTAGTACATTTCCGCGAAGCAATATGCGTACGAAATGGCGAAAGCCATCGATAAACCGCTGCTTTGTTGTCGTTCGATTGCAAAAAGCTGCACTGTGCACAATATCGCGTGTGCGCTGTGCGAGAGCGTGCGAAGGATAAACGGCACTTGGTAAATCTATATCGCGATACACAGCACGAGATTTCATTAGCCGCAAAATAAAAAGAATGCCGGGATTAGGTCGATCTGCATTGGCGTAAGCCTCCTATCTAAATTTTATATCATAGAAATATCATGGATATATTACATAATCCAATCTCAATGCAACATATCGAAAAGTTCGAATGAGCATCTTGATCTGCATATCATTTTGCATATCATTTTATTTATCTTGATGTACATCACTTTTTACTCGCAGAGAAATTTTTGAGATATCCGCATTGTTATCATTCGATCGCTGTCGCGCGCACGCAATGTTATTTATATTATGCAAATCTAGCTCACATTTTAAATTATCTCTGACATTTTTTTTTTGTACATTAACATCTCCGTAATTCATTGTTTTCCGCTGACAAAATTTTCGAAATATTCTCGCGAGAAGAGACAGGAACATAATTCTCAAACGCGTAATTAGTTATGTATTTATGTAGTACGAATTTTTTACGTGCGTGGCAGGGAATCGGGGCGCGATCCGTCGTGTCCCACAGTGTGATATATTTTAGCCATTTCGTGGGAACGAAGAGGACCCTGATCGATAACACGCAGCGGGGTAGTGGTAGTGGTGATGCTGCTGGTGGTGGTGGCGGCAGCCCTACCGATAATTCCCCCATAGATGTGGCGCATGCTCGCGAATTAAATTCCTCCCCCTTCGGTAATTTCACCGCGCTCCGGTTTCTCCCGCTGAAGGGCGGCTGGGAGTGAAAGAGAAAGAGAGAGAGAGAGAGAGAGAGAGAGAGAGAGAGAGAGAGAGAAAGAGAGAGAAGAAGAAAAAAGAAAATGTGCGCCGCGCGCATAGGCCACGTGTGCAGACGGGTTGCATATAATCCGCGACCTTGAACGAGCGAGCTTGAATACTTTTATGCGGCGGATGTTGGGCGCGATGTGGAATAAAATTGCACGACGAATGTTCGTCGAATAAAGAAATAAATCGGCAGGGCGCTCGCTATTATTTCAAAGAAATGAGAAATTGTACGAACGAGATTCTCCTTCAACGATGATATTTTATGAAGTATATATTTTTAAAAATAAATTTTAAAAAGTCTGTATGTCTGTTATACATTCTGGAGTCTTGCAACTTAAAGAGTTTTAAAGGGTATCTGTTAACCTGCGTGTATCTGTTTCGTGTAACTTAGAGCTGCAAGACAGAGTTTAGAGGCGATTGCATGCAGGTCAGGACCGAGACAAATACGGATGCTACGTATTACCTTGTTCGCCACTTCAGCGTATTATAGTCATTAATGCTAGTGCTTTATGGCGATGCATGCAGTGCGGTGCATTTAGTGTATAAATGCATTACTGTGTAATTACAAAACAAATAATAATGCGGAGGAAATACGCGAGTTACAGAAAATTTCAAGTGTCGACATAAATAAAAGATCGGTCCTTAACCGTAATAAAAATTATATGATAAACTATATAACACACAAATGTAATTAATAATTAAATAACTAAAAATAAAAAGAAAGCGTGTATGTTTAGGAAATGAATATTTCTTTTGATTTTTGCTGATAATTAATACGCTTAAATTTCTGTCGTAGAAATTGTCCGTTTGAAATTAATTCGATCATTGGCATGCGACGCGACGAGCGGAAGAAAAGCGAAGGTAAAGGAATAAGTCAGTCGCACACGCGACCAGAATTTTCAGCCAGATGGGGTCGTTGTATTAAACGTTGACACCTGCCGAACAGACCGGTCCGGCACGCACGGATTCGTGCGTGCGTCGACCAGGTGCAGCATCGCTTACCTGCGATATTATCGGATGACGATCGCGACTTCGCCAGGCCAGAAGCCGGCTGGTGAGTTCGCCCGATCGAGCGCTCTCGATAGAGTCCAAATCGCGGCGGTATTGTGGCCGAAATCTCAGATTGCTGCAACAGTGCGATAACGTTCTCATCATGAATCGCGTTAATCATAGCGTTGATAAACGCTTTCGTTGAATGTGCCTATTAATAGACGCCCGAAGGTACGAGGAGAATGCACCCGCGGTTGTTATTACAAATCACGACAATCGGTTATGTCCGACTCTAATCCGAAGTGTCGCATGTAGTGCGAGATGTGCCGGAAGATGAAGTCAATTGATAAATATAAAAATAATAATAAAAAAAAAAAAACATTTTGATAATTATACGTAAGAAATAAGTGAGTATTATGTAAACATATGTTATAAAATTAGAAATTCTTGGAAAAGTGCGCAGATGTCCGCAGACATCTTGTTGTTGCTGCTGCTTCCTGATGTGCGCAAAAGTATAATGTATGTGCGCAGATTTACCGCGATTCATTCGCGAAGTGCAAGCCGACGAGAGCTCGTACGACTCCATACGTTCGCGCGGAGATAAAAGGGAACGACGTAACGTGCACTTACACGTCGCACAAATGGAATTCCTCTTACAGACGCGATGCTTTCTCCGCAGCTTCCGTCCAACACGATAGCTCTCTTTCTCTTTGTCGTTTTTGAGTCGTTTCTACCCCTTTGGAGGGAATGAACGAAAGCTGCGGATCTTTCTGCCAAAACAAAATGCAGAAGGATGCGCGAAATTTTGCGTACATTTTATCTCGACGCGTTTTCCTACATTCTCCTTTTCTTTAACGCTCTGTATATAATTTATCACCAATTTTCTTCGCAAAAAGATTCGCAAAGGAGAAAACTCTGTACTCACTTGCATTCAGCAAAGGAATTCTGTCCTGCCTCGATTTCCTGCGTTTTATCACAATGCCGTATCGCGTTATCCACCAGCAGTTTCCCTGCAACATGAGATTATATCATAAAAATGAGGCGTACGAGACGAAATTTATTCTTATATGAGTCGTATATGAGTCGGTCCGACACGTAAAAAGTCACTCGTAAAAATAAATATTTAATTATTTAAAAATGTTCTTTTCGCACGGGACGACGTTTGCTCAGATGGTCGTCCCCTTTTTAAGGTAAAGAAGACGTGGAAGCTGAAAAGGAGAAGCTAACAGCTCAGAGTCCCAGTTTTCTGCCTGTTAGACTTCCACGTCGTGGTTCATCTTTCCGTTGATGACTTTTTCAAAAATAGTACAGCGAGAATAAACCGTAAAGAAACGAAATACAAAGCGCGGCCATTCGTGCAGCAAGAAAAAAATCTGATAAAATATAAAACGAGTCGGCTTTGTTTTTCTTCTTCCATTTTGTGAACAAAAATTCCATATGCGTTTTTGTGATAACGGAATATCTATAGCGAAATTTGTCGTAAAATATAGATAATAGATAATAGATATAAATATATAAATATAAATATATCTATATATTAGAAATAGATACAGATAAATAATCAGAAATTAAAGACATGAAGATATGGTATCTTGGAATGAAAATAAATTGACAAGACTTTCAAAACAATCTTTAATTCGTATATACTATCGAAATAATAAAAAATGTACAAACAATAATCGAAAACCATTTTTTTTCTAGATAAATTATTTTATTTTTAATATATATATTTTAAAAGCAAAATCTCTTAAAAGTCAACTATAATAATAAAGATAATATTAAGTATGTAATATAACGCAAAAATATATTTTATTTATTCAAACATTAATAAATATATCAAATAAAAGCTTTCCCAAGCGCACTATTAATATCTTTAATTAATATTCATTTATTCTCGCTTTATTAGCACTGTTAACACATCTGTGTATTGTATGCAAAACTCAATGGAGCATTATAAATTAATATTAAAATGGAGAAATATATACGATACCTTTGCACGTCGTAAACTGAACTGAATAAGAAAAAATAAAAATTAATCATTAACCATTGCGAAAAGGAATATCTAAGTATAAGCGGTAAAAAGAATTTCAGTGAAAAGAACATTTCAATACAAAATGTCGCATTAACGAATATCATACGTCACAATAAATACTCTCCTTGAGTGACATTTACTCAGAAAATCCATCGTACATTTTCTTAAAAGCGCCTGACATAGTCAGTAATGTAAAATAATAAGAATACTCTTCTTATTTCGAAGTTCTTGAAACAACATTCGCGTAACCTCATCGACCATCTTACTCGTGAAGTTTCGCGATAGAGGAAACGAAACCGAGCCGATGTTTCGTAACTTTATGCGGAACTTCCTGCTTGAAAATAAAACTCGCATGCACCGACGCAAGCTCCCCGGAGATCTATCGCGCACCGAATTTATTTTGAATTTTGATAGATCACCGTCATTTCGCAACTGTTCCTTGCGTGCGGGCATGTAGAGTGTTGCGCAACGGACCGAAGCTTGTCGAGGAAAACGCGATATGCGATATTTATCGAGGACCAAAACTCGGAATGAATTCGCAAATTATATTATGGACTTCGTACGATTAGTTATGGTAATACAAAGCCACCCACTGCGTATAATATTTATGATTCAAAACATATAACAAATATCAAACGCATATAAATTGTTATTATTATTAATTACATGTACACATTTCCTATAGTTATTGTTCCTATTGTTTCGTTTTAATTGCACGTCCATGCGTAATCCCTTTCGTTTTAAAAAGAACTTTATTTGGATATCACCGAATACCGAATGAAAGATAAATAGAATCTCGCATTGATTTTTATCGCTCCAAAATGCAGAAGGATTAACTAACGACATCGCGATGCAAAGCGAGACGGACCAGTTCGTTCGAGACGGACAAGACGGAATTGGTTGTGACAGTTCGAACAGCGCTGAAAAGAGAACCGGTGAACTTTCGTCCCGAGATGTCACGGTGCTTTTACTCTCGTTTCCCCGACAAGGATCTTCCCCGACTTGTCGTATTTCCCCTTCGGTCCGCCACTTTACGAAGTGCTTTGGCATCTGGATGGCATCGGTCCAACCATCGTTGCCTGTCCTTCTTACGAATCTACAGACGTACCCACTTGCCAGACGTACCGGGATCGTTCGTGAAAGCTTAAATCGGATCTTACTGGCGATTCGTACGTCTAAGATCGATAACCAAATCCGAGAAACGAGAGTGAACGCGGATACTTTCGAGAGATATCTGAAAATAAACTCGTCTGTTTCGATAGCACAGATTTAATACATGTAAAATACTTGCAAAGCTCTCAAACGCGTTTGGCAGCATACACACGATTTTTCGATCGCTTAAACGGCACTCAATTTTCCGTACACATGGAAATGCATCAATAATCTTTTTTTGCAACAGTTCACGACGAAAGTAAGTGTTGAACAATGCAGTAGGCATCAATTCGTATTATTGCCTATGTTTAGCTTTTTGCCGGACGCTCATTTGCATTCTTGCAGTTAAGATTATTGGCGCGCACGAGGTTCAACGAGAGTTCAATGCACCAGTTGTGCTGTCATATATTAGTATGGTTACCTCGAGACTGGACTAAGAAGTATAGCCATAGGCAAGATCGATGCATCGCGAACGAAACGAGTTTGTTTACCGTTTACGTGACTGATCGATAAAACCTTCACATTCATAGATAGACATGGAATTCTTTTCGATTAAGAGACGATGATTTTTTTATCTGCTTCTGCTTATTTTGGAATACGTTTTCGTTTCGTTACTCTTCTTATTATTTTGATTCGCTTAAACGGTACCACTGTAAAATAAAACATTGCCTTACCTTTCTCGTAGTGTTTCCGAACGAGGGAGAAGTTGTGATTCACATCTGGTGGATCGGCGTTGTCAAAGAGATCGGAGGACAATTGACGTTGCAGCAGGATCGTCTCATGAGTGAGCTCACGAACCTGGATGAGAAGTTCCTCATAGCTCGAAACTGGAAGCGTCATCGCTGTGCTTTCCGTGCTTCACCGCGCCTTTGCGCACGAGTCTTGCCCGTATAGCCATCCGACTTTAATTCTGCAGTGAAATATTTATGTGACGGGCGAATAAAATAGAAATGAAATATATTGACCTATTAGAAGTTAGCCTCCCACTTTTAGAAATAACTTATTTTGAGAGTTGTGCTGAATTGTGCTAGGTTTGTGCTACATTGTGCCCGAATTTTAAAACCGTAATGTGAAAAATGTCATAAAAAATGAAAAAAAACGACATTTTAGGCTAGCCCCCACTTAGCGATTTTTTAATTTCTCGATTGGGCTAGGTTGTGCTAGGTTGTGCTAACATTGTGCCAAAATATTAATC